GAGTTGCATGGTCCTGACGTCCGACCAGCGCAACATCAACAACAACATCAACTACAGCAACAAACAGAAGAATATGCACACAAATATCCAATAGAGCCAGGAGAAGTAGGCAAAGAAATAGAAAAACTACAACGAGCAAGTCAAAAGAGGAGTGAGCGAAAGAAGCAGAAACAGAATCAGAAGCAGCCCACATCGGTGGCGGAGCAGTCGAGCGCAGCGAACGGAAATAATGTGCTGAATACACCGCCGGAAGCTGGGCTGGCCACAACGTACCAGCAACAGAAAATGCTAAGGCGTGGCAAAGAAGCGGAAGAACGCGGGGATAGCACGATGGCGGTTGGTGTTAGTACCGTTGTGGCTAATAGTGCAGCTGGCGCTGTGCAACGCGGTGGTATGCGGCGGCGAGCTGGCAGCAAATCTAGCGAACCGGAAACTGTTATTTTAGCAGCGAGCTCCGTGAACGAAAAACAAATTCTCGAGAAGGTATTCAAACGGTAAGTACCGCCTTGTGGGTGGTCCACTAGCATTGCCACTTGTGGAAATACATGCATTTATATACTATGTATATAGAGATGTGCATTAGGGTGCATCACTTTCTATGCAAATGAAAAATCGGTACGGATTTCCATCGGAATTTTTAAATTTATTATATTTTAAGACTACCACAAAAATATATTTAGGAAAAATATTTATATTTACGTGAAAATATCCAAAAATCTGGTGTTCCTTTTTAATAAATTAGTTTTTAAAAATATTTTTATCCAAAAATTCACCTCAAGTTATATAGATCTTTATAAAAATGTTGAAAAATTTAAATTGAAATAAAATAATAAAATATAAATATTTTTCGGAATTAATTTGGCGGAAATCTTAAAATATAATCTAAGGCAATTTCGCCCGAAAAAAAATCACCCCAAAAATTTTCATTCGCCCGTAGTAAATACAGGGAAACGAAAAGTGAAAAGTGAACCGGTTCGGTTTTATAATTTCGGTAGAAAGCCAGCAATTGTTTTTTTTTTTTGGTGAGTCACCCTAATGTACATTGATATGTAAGTAGACAAGCGAACAAAACAAGTAGCGATTGGATGCCAAGGGCATCTGTTGGACGGTGCTCTGTTTCAATTTCCATTTTAATTTTTTTTTCGCTGTTTTCCTTCTTTGTACTCTTCACACAAAAGAAAATGAGACCAACGAATGGTGCAGAAGAAAAGATTAATGTTAATTAAATGGTATCATTAATATAGATAAAAGATACGAAATCCAGACAAATTGCTGTGGAAGAATTTTGTGGTCTTATCTTTGTAATCAATAAGGAATTTGTCCGTATATTTCGTAGCGAGTAGCATGGTGGCAAGAACGTACATAAATGCTTATTATTTTCTTCAAACGATTACACAAAGACAGTGAACAGAGATGGATGGCCAGAAGGTGGTTAGGATTTTTTTATTTCTTCTGTTCGTCTTTAAGCAATAACTTTCCTACAAATTAAATGATATATTTTTTATTTAAAACAATAAGAAATTTAATTAAAAAAAGAAAAATAAAAAGTTATATAATAAGTATCTAAAACTTAAATGAGACTAACAAAAATGTTTCTTTTTGGAGCAATAAAGTGTAAATTAAACAAAATTAAAATTAAAAAGAAAAAACTTAAACAAAAGAAATATATAAAATAAGTTCCTACACCTGAAAACATTTTTCTAATAACATAATCCGAATATAAGAAAAAAGGTAATAATTAAAATAAGAAAAAAAAATTAATTAAGCAAAGAAGAAAAACGTATAGTTTCTAAAAATTTAATCAAAAAAAGAATAATATAAAAAAATAAAAAATTATATAATAAATATCTAAAACTTAAATAAGACTAAAAAACTTTTCTTGTTAGAACGATAGATAAAGTGTAAAAATTAAACCAAATAAAAATTAAAAAGAAAAAACCTAAAAAAAGAAAAATATAAAATAAATTTCTAAACGTGAAAATATTTTTAATAACATATTCTGAAATTTAAAAAAAGTAATAATAATAATTAAAATAAGAAAGACATTTTATCAAGAAAAGTATAAAAAGCATAAGTTTCTAAAAATATAATCAATAATATAACAATAAAAATATAAAACAATAAAATCTAAATATTAAATTAAAAAGGGAATAAAAAGGAAGGGAAAAGGGATACTTTTGTACCACTGCTAAAGATGTGATCTTTTTTATCAACGACGCAGTGAAATTAAGTAGAGCATCGCGTTGCTGCTGCCGCATATATGCAGACTTAGGTCCCAAGCAACTTGAGATTCTGGCAGTCAGGATCACAGCCCCTATGAGAGGGATTGTATAAGGTGGCGCCTTATTAGTGATCTCCAAAATTTCACAAATACTTCCCTTACAGCACTAAGTCTAATTATAAAGATCTATCGTAACGTCGATCTAATTTTCCTAGCTCAGCATTCCACCAAACCGACTACAGAACTTGCAAAAATATTGGGACAGAGAGACATAAACTGACTAATAGTACTGACTTTATTAGAGGTCTTTTCTGAAATTACTAGTACTAAATAGTACTATTTTTAGTGAACCTGGCATAAAGATCGATCAGTACTGTCTGGAATACTTGTCAGTATGTATTGAGAAATCTGGTAGCCGCTGCCGACCTTCCACGTTATCATAATTTGCTTCTTCCGTAGAAAGGAAGAGAATATATATATAAAATTGAGGGAAATGAGTTTTATTGAATAACGCAAAAATATGGCCTACCGAATCGGCGATGCTCTTTTGGTGGTATTACGGATTTGGACTAAAGTGGACTAAAGCGTTTTTAATGATAAACGAAAAAAAATGTGTCACCAAGAAGGGGATGCTCTATCTTTTAGAATTACTGACTTCCAGTTTCGACCGCAAGTGGGTTAAACGACCGGAAGTCCATTCTCTTAACCGGAAGACCATTCCAGAAAAAAGTTCCCGACTTAAGTTATGTATTTTTGTCCACAGAAGGACATACGTCCTTAAAAAAAATGACTTCCCGTGTATTTAACCACTTCCGGTCGAAAGCGGAGGTCAGTAATGCGACCAAAAGGGCAGCCTGAAATTGTGCATATGGAAACTGTGCATACGAAATAATGCATATGAAAAAAACCGAAATAATGCATATGCACTCTTTCGCTTCAAAACCGAAATAATGCATATGACAAAAACCGAAGTAATGCATACATGCACAGTTTCGACTCAAAACCGAAGTAATGCATATAACAGAAACCGAAATAGTGCATACATGAAAACGAACTTCTTTCTGAGTACGCGGCCTGCGGCCGCGCTTAGGGATTATAACCCCTACTAAGTAGAACTCTCCTTTCTGTGTTGCCGGAAAAGCAGGGCGGAAGTATTTTTGCGCAGAACTTTTTTCTGCATAGGCGGCCTTCGGCCGCGCTTAGGGATTATAACCCTTACTAAGTACAATTCTCCTTTCTGTGTTGCCGGAAAAGAAGGGCGGAAGTATTGTTGCGCAGAACTTCTCTCTGCGTAGGCGGCCTTCGGCCGCGCTTAGGTATTATAACCCTTACTAAGTAGAATTCTCCTTTCTGTGTTGCCGGAAAAGGGGGCCGGAAGTATTTTTGCGCAGAACTTCTTTCTGCGTAGGCGGCCTTCGGCCGCGCTTAGGGATTATAACCCTTACTAAGTACAATTCTCCTTTCTGTGTTGCCGGAAAAGAGGACCGGAAGTATTTTTGCGCAGAACTTCTTTCTGCGTAGGCGACCTTCGGCCGCGCTTAGGAATTATAACCCTTACTAAGTAGAATTCTCCTTTCTGTGTTGCCGGAAAAGAAGAGCGGAAGTATTTTTGCTCAGAACTTCTCTCTGCGTAGGCGGCTTTCAGCCGCGCTTAGGGATTAAAACCCTTACTAAGTAGAAGTAAATAATTCATATTAGAAAAAACGAAATTATCCATATGGAAAAAACCGAAATAAAGCATACATGCACAGTTTCGGTTGAAACCGAAATAATGTCTAAATGCACAGTTTCCATATGCGCAATTTCGGTGCCCCGACCAAAAGGTACAGTATCCCCGACTTAGTAATTCATATTTTTTCGTTTTGCAATAAAAACATTTTCACTCATTTATGAAGTCCAGGACGAATTAAAGTTCGAAGGCGCATGCGAGAAAAAATGTTCAATAAAAAGTAACGTATTGTTATCCTCAGAATCCGAAGCAGTGGTAAAAAAATTTATGTATAATTTCAAAAAATGAACTTCCGATCAGTTTAACCCGGAAGTCGGTAAGGTAGGTATTCATATTTTTGGGTAATTAAATAAAAACCATTACCCACTATTTTAGAGGGGGCGGATGAGTGGTCTACGATACCCTGCATAATATTTTTGGCTACAGGCTGAGGTATGATATCTCTATTGTTACTCGGCTTTTGTGGCATAAAACAAGAGCCAATTAATTGTGAGTTTTGGTTAAAAAAATAAACATAACTAAACAAATCGAAAATCCGGCGATATGCCATTTCGACTAATGATTTTAGTAATCATTCTAAAACTTGCATATATTTGAATCGCAAGCTAACACTCATTGCCCCGACTTCTAAGTACGTAGCCACCCAAAACACTCAACGAACGCACTTAACCTTTTAATCCGTACTTCAAATATCGCATTGCATTGCAAAAAACTACGCTGCACTAGCAGCTGTGGCAAAAACGATATGCGCCACTTTTGTTCAGGGCTAAAAATCAAATCGCTGAGTATGAGTTGCAATCGATGAACGCGAATTCCCATATCCTACCACCCGCTACCACTATTTTCAGTTTGGGTGTAAGTAAGTATTCCCGCTAGTTGCCGATTTTTTCCCCTAACTATTACATTTTGCGGTTACACACAACAATACGCAACCACACACCACACACCACACAAGCTCCCAAAGTGACTTTCTATTTTACACACACACACACACTGGCATTCACTACATAAAGAGCGGGGTGGTAGCAGCGGGGTGTGGGTAAAGTGCTGCGACTGTGCACTGCGGGAGTGTGAGCACATAATTATTATGTCATTTTTGCACACACACACACGCACACACACTCAACCGGTGAGAATATGCCAACAAATATAAGGTATTTAAGGTAGACGCTGCGCAAAAATATATTTGAAAGCTCTGTGAGTGTGAGTGTTTGCTGGCATTTTAATCTGCACTTTTTTGGCCTACAC